TTTTGTGGCTTTTGTTTTTTGGGCTTTTTTTACATGAATACTTTACTGAAAATGAGCCATTTGCCTTTGAGAACTTCCCCAGTTTTCTGCCTGGTGAAATAACTGCAGAAGGGTTATTACACTCGAAACGACACGGAACGATAATTTGGAGACAAACAAGGCTTTGTCTCAGCGATGCATAAAGTAATTACTGGGCAAAAGTGCATCATTCTCGTTTTAAAAACCGTGGCCTGAGAGCGGTAAACAGCTGAAAAATGGGTCGTTCGCTGTACATAAAGCGCAAGTGCCAAATTTCGAACTAACTATATTTGGATTTTATTGTTTTGTGGAAACTCCAGAGCAGAAATATTTGCTCACAAGAACACGAGCACACATCCGGTGCGGAAAGCGCGGCGTGTCTGACGTGGAGCGTTTCCCCACCGCGCCCTGCGACGCGTCGCACATCTCAAACAGCCGCGGCTGTGCCTTGAATCACAGAGGGCTGCTAATGAGGTTTCCATTATGCGCGATGTGCTGAATCTGAAGTTCGCTAATTTTCTGACCTGCTGAAATAGATTTTAATAAGCTTGATGTACCACAGCATATAAAGACAAAGGGAAGCGCTTAATGGGGCTGTCAGGATAACTCTGGGCAGGCCTGGGGATGCTTAAAGTGTTGGTGGAGTTGATGGGAAGCTTGGGCAGCAGACTGTGTGCCCATGAGCGCTGCCCGGCGCCGTGCTGCTCTGTGGGAGAGCTTCGTGGGGTCTGCAGTCAAATCCAGGAGAGATCATTGCTCCTAAAGCACGACAGCGGGTTCTGAGCAGTCAGGTGCTGTCCTGATCTTTCAGTGAGCCTAGATGGAGTTTGATTTCTCTGGGTGTGTTCATCCAGCGGTGAGTGGTTGGCTGTTCATCTAAAGCTTGACACGGCGGCTGCATTTTCTTTTTCGTTTTTGTTCCTTGTAGAAAAGGAGGGGAGGGGGGAGATGGAGGACTGAAAGATGAAAGTTTTGAGCGTAAAGGGATTGTTTTGGGATTGAGCTTTCCCTCATGTGTGCTCACCATTAAAGGCTGTGTTTGTGTCGGGTAAATTGGACCCATGCCTGCCTGCCTCCCAAAAAAGGCAGCGAGCTCTTCTGCTTCATGGTTGCGAGTCTGATACTTTTGAAATGAAGCCTAAAGATCCGACAAAGAGGATAACACTGCCTAATGGAAAGAATAATGCGGGCAGGAACCCATCTGAAATGACAGCTGTGAGCCTCGCGCTGCTCTCCTGCGCTGATCAAAGCCGCTGGTAACGCTGTGTGAAAGGAGGGCATCGGTTCCCCCTCTCCTGCTCCACCTGCAGACATTTCTGCATTGGCAACTTGGTGCTTTTTTCCCTGGGAGATCAGTGCAGCTCCCAGCATATGTTCCAGGCTCCATTGTGACAGGCCAAGGGGCCAAACTACATAGAGGGGAGATTCCAGTTGGATGTAAGGAAGTTTTTTACAGTAGGGGCAGCACAGGCTGCCCGTAGAGGTGGTGCTGCCCTGTCCCTGCAGACAGCCAAGGTCAGGGGAGGCAGCCCTGAGCACTGATGGAGCTGTGAGTGTCCGTGCGTTGCCGGGCAGTGGGATCTGATGGCCTTCAGAGGTCCCTTCCAACTCCATCCGTTCTGTGATTCTGTAATAATTTTGGTGGTTTTTCTGAAATCTGGTGCTGAGGCCACATGTGCTCATTGCTAGACTCTTGCCATGCGACCTCATGTGCCCGCGTGCTTTAGTCAGTAGGAAGCAGAGAAAATTGTTTGCATAGTATTTATTGATAGGAAAAGGGATATCTTGGTCCTCGTGACTTTTGGGGGGTGTGGTTGCTCTTGTCCCGGTGTTCCTACAGTGCAGCATCGTGTGTGCTTCAGGGCTGAGTGGGACGTGGCCCAAAGCAATCACTGGTTGCCCCATTGGCCGCATGCTGCCCTCTGAGCTCCTGTCCCACTGCCAGCCTGCTGCTCCCTGACTTGTTTCTGTGCTGGAGAAGGCACTGGCGTGGAGAGGGCTGCTGCCTCGAGCTGTGACCGTAGGGTAGGGCTTCTGGAAACAGACGTGTCCTTGCCCCATTGCATGGGGCTGCTTTGGCATTTATAGGGAAACTGTTGGTGCGGGAAGCAGAAAAATGTATCTGTGAGAAATTGAACTCCAAACACTGGCTTTGGCTCATTCTGAACAATAAGAGAGCATGAAATTGCTGTGAATCCTCAGGGCTTTCCTGGTCAGTGTGTAAGCCCGTGGAAAACATTTATTGTAAAATACCTTCTAATTACAGTGCCTGAAGTAGGCACTTTGGGCCTTTTGAACAGCTTTGCTATCTTGTTTTCTGTAATTATATGCAGAGGACTCACAGAGGAGGGCAGGGATCTTTTCTGCAAGTCTGGAGCCCCTCATGCAAACATGATTATGAAATCTCTCCTTTCACCCCTTTCCATTTCCCATGGAGCTTCAGAGCTGCCAGGGAGCAGCATGTGGGGAGCTGTGTGGGTACCTGTGATGGGCCAAACTCAGGCACAGGGGAAGGGGCTGTGGCTGCTGGGAATGGGAGGGCATCCTCACCCCGAGGTGCTGGTGGGACCTGGGGGAGGTTCTCCAACAGGGAGGTCCCTTTGGGGGCACAGAAACCAGCACAGAGGTTCCCTTTTTCAAATACCTTTCCCCAAGTGACTTTGCTCCTTGTGCTGCATTTTGTACCGTCTGTGAAACGGAGATGGTGTCACTGCCAAGAGACACAGGAACAAAGAGCTCCGTAAGAACAAGAAGTGGATTGGCTGTGTTCTTAGACAGCACGCAGCATTAATGTGCTCAGCAGCGTGATGAGTGGGAAATTTGTTTTTGACTGAAGGAGCTGATTAATGCAGCGCCTGGCAAATGTAATTTCAGTGTGTGGGACTGATTACTTTCAGCATGTTGGATTGATTTAGGGATCCTCCAGTGATGGAACCCGTCTGTGTGTGTTGGTAAGCAGGCTTTTGCCAATACAGATAATCAGCCTCTGCTCCCATCTCCCACCTGTGCAGCCCCACGCAGCCGTCCCAGCCAGCGTGAGCAGCACCATTGCATGGAGCTGTGCAGTGCCTCTGGCGCAGAGGCTTTCATCTCATAGTCAAGAGAACAGCTTTCTTTCAGGGAGGAGGGATTAATTTTTCACACATCTGTCCTTACTGAGTTCCGGATCGCAATAATAGATGCTTTGTTCAGGCTCTTTTTGTGGAGCCTCTTCTCCACCCTTGTTATTTCGTTCTCCTTTTGCATGGCAAAACTTTTTGTCCTGCATTTCAAATAGATACTGAGAGTCCCTGGCAGCTGAACAAGAGAAACAAACTTTGCAGCCCTGTCCTTTATGCTGCTTTCGGGAGATGCGTGGTGATGTGAAAGGTATTAGATTGGTTTTGGCAGAGGCATTTGATTCCCTGGGAAATCCACAGCTCCTCTGATCCCTTACGGATGGTTTAGGGCCTCTGGAGCCCCCAAGTGACGGGTTTGCTGGTGGGCAGCTGATCCTGAGCACGGCATGGGGGTATGGTGGGCGCTGCTTGGGATGAGGTAGCAGGACGTGCTCTGTGGTAGGCAGGGGGGAGGCTGTGAGCACTGCTCTGTCCCATTTACTGCCAGCTCAGCGTTCAGCTTGAGCGTGGCTCTGCACAAAAACAGAGCCCCAGAACAATGCACTCATCCTGCAGGTGTATTCCCTCTTGGCTAATGCTGGTTTGATTCTCTAACATCAAGGTCTTCTTGCTCCAGGCTATTGCAACTCTGCTACCATGTGCTGGGGGGAGCCAAACAGGGTTCCCCAACAGGAGTGAATTTAGCACTCTGGTGTTTGGTTATAACGTCCCCTGATGTGAAAGTGCTTCCCTCTGTATCCTGCTCTTCAGAGATCATAGCAGTTCATCAACGTAATGAACAAATCATGTAGGTGTTAAGTAGCAGGGTTTGCTGTGCTGTGCATGGGCTCTGTACGCAGGGAGCAGCTGCCTGGGTTACCCTGCATATACATTTACCTGGACTTTCTCTTTTCCCCCAACAGCCCTATTACCATATTTAAATGCAAGTATGTCTGTTTTTTAATCAATGTTTTAAGTAGCCTTAAGTGACTCTAGCCTAGCTGCTCTCTGCTCATGCCCTTGGTAGATTCCCCGTAGGTAGGATGGTAGTGGTAGCAGGCTTGTAGTTGGCAGGTTTCTCTGACTCTCGCTCTCTCCATCTCTCAGCCTGCTGTTCTCTTCTCTCTTGGCTCAGTTGTTTTTCTGTGGTTCTTCAGCACCGCGAAGCAGTTGTGGTTTCGAGTCCCGGAGCTGCTGAGGGCAGTGCTGAGGCAGAGTTTGCACCAGCGGCTGTCCTGGCTGACAGCAGGAGCTCCCAGGGACCAGGAGCGCTCCAAGTGCTTTGTTGACGTGGCAGCACAGGGTACTGGGGGTTCCTGTTGATTGCCTGGACCTTGCCAGTGCCCTCTTAAAATATATATAGAAAGTCAAAGCCTCTGGAGATCTGTTAATATTAATTAAGTAAAGAAACCGAGTCTGAAATCTTGGTAGCAGCGTTTCATTCATCTGCAGCCCCCTGTAGCAGGGTGTGTGTCTTCAAGCTCCTTGATCTGCGGCTGTTTTGCTATCAAAAGCTTTTTTCTTTCTTTCTTTTTTAAATTACATTCCGGTTGAGTTTTTTTTCTGCTTGATCCCAGCAAATCTGTGATCTTGACACGAGACCCTTCCCCCGTTTTCCATTACTGCTCTGTCTGTAGATCGGCACGTTATTATCACTTGCAAATAAGCAGCGACCGAAATGCAGCCGTCGCTGTGTGCACGGGCCGGCCCTGCCTGCTGGAGGGGATGTTGGCTGTGGGGCCCTGCGAGGTCAGCCCCGGCCCCTCGCCTCCCGCAGCGCCGTGCCCAGGATCCGTGTGCCAGCACTGCCCTGGCAGACGCCCCGCAGAGGCGCGCGGTGCCGCCGGCTTCTTTCTTTACCCTTCTCCTTTTCTCCACGGCCAGGTTTTCCGGCAGCGGCTTATGGACCAGTAGCAGCGGCGGCCGTGGCGGCAGCAAGAGGATCAGGTAGGGGGGCCCGTGGAAGAGCAAACCCTCAGAGTGCAGGGTCAGGTAAAAGCTCTGTCGGTATTCTGTGTGGCTGCAGCTCTCCATCATTTCTCTGATTTTCCTCACGCTTATCCTGGGGATCTGAAACCAATCGATCAAAAAGATAAAAAAAAAAAAAAATAACTAAATCCCAACCCCAAACTACAAGCAGAGGCCACGGGCCTGGAGCACCTTGCAGGAGATTGGCGTCAGAACTGCCAAAACCAGGGTAGATATTCTGATTTGCTTCTTTATTTATCCCTTTATTACGTTGGTTTCTTTTGTTTAAATTCGAGATTATAAAGGACACCCAAAAGAAAAAAGAATTGTGGTGTTGCGAAAGAAAGTTTTCGTTTCTCATGGAAGGTGAGGGCCGGGCTGTGCAGGCTCTGCTCCCCGGCGCCGCAGGTCGGTCCCACGCGGGTGGCCGTGTGCCATTTCCTGCGGTGCTCCGGCCGCTTCTCATGGAAACGCCAAAGCTTTTCTTCCCGTCCTTCCGAACACTTCCGTTTTTTTCCCCTTAAGGGAAATAAATCAATCGTTGCCAATTACCGTTATTACTTTGGGCTTCAAATTCAGATAAAGGTGCAAATTAGCGCTTTGCTGAGGTCGTGGAGCGTTCAGTGCACTCATGAGTGAGCTGCCGGTTGGGCAGCCCAGCCACCAGCCTGTCCCATCCCGCAGGGCCGTGGGTGCGCGGGGCCGGGCTGGGGGCAGCGCTGTGCTCGGCCTCCCCGGCGCAGGGCCCGCTGCGGGGGTCGGCCGCTGGGTGTTGTGCCGGCGGAGGCCGCGGCGTTGGAGGCTGCTCCCAGCTCACCCATGATGCAGTCCTGACGTGGGGGTTTCTCGGTGACTTTCCTGGAGGTGCCCTGGGTGATCCGGGCTCTTCCAGGAAAGAACCGACCAAACCGCTGCATACTGGGTCAGGAGGAGGGCATGGGCCCCAGTGTGTGAGCCTGATGCCGTGGAGGCCAAAGCAAGACACCAGGAGAACTCCGTTCCATGCAAACTGGCACTGCTTGCAGGCTACAAAGGATTATCTGTACCAGTTCCATTTTGTGGCATGTAGAGAGCGCCTAAGGGGTGACTTGCCAGACTGGTTGTGGGGGTCCCAATCTCCTCGCTCCTCCCACTGCCCCTTAACAGAGGGAAACAAAAGTTTTCAAAAGCAAAAAAAAAAAAAAAAAAAAAAAAAAAAAAAGGAAAAAAAGAGAATGATTTTGCATATGATTTCAGGAAAACAGATTTCATTGTTTCTGCCTTTTCCTCATGTTTTGCCCTTCAGGTTTTGTTTTACGTACAAACAGACCTGGTGAGTTGCCCCTTAGCAAGGCACAGAGGGTTTGGCTGGATTAACATTGCTTCCCTGATAATTACTATTTTTTTAATCGGAGTGCTTTTGGTGCCCATTACAACTGAACTGAGCATTGATCAATTCTGTGCCTGAAAATCATTTGTCTTTAATTTGAGTGTTTTTTGGTTTTTCTTCTGTTGGGTTTTCTGTTTTGTTTTGTTTTTTCGTTTTTTATTTGAACTTGCAATACAAAACTAAATCTAACCCGAAATTAACAACACCCTTTCTGGCAAGTTTAAAGAGCAGTATGGTGTTTGGAAATGTCTTTCAAGCCTCAAAATTGCCCGTGTGCATAAAAATGGCAAAACTCCAAAACCGAATCACAAGAGCCCCCCCAACCCCGAGACCTGCAGGAGGGAGGTGGGTCTGTCACAGCCGTGGGGCGCAGCCAGCCCTGCTCCAGGCACGGTGTGTGTCACGTAGTCATCTCCATCCAGAGGCAGCTTTTGGAAGGGACATCCTCACTTCCATTCAGCCATGGTAGTGAATTGTATCCAGGAGCAGTAGAGTGCCATCAGTCTTGTGATACAGTCTATAAGCCCGATTCATTACAAGAAAAAATGATTGGGGTTTTTCTTCTTTCCGGTTGGGTTTTTCTTTTTCCCTTTGCAAATTTGCACCCCCCTCCTTCATACATGCCCCAGCCCAAAGCCCAGAGTGCGGCGCTGCTGCTCTGCCCCAAGGCTGCTGCCCCTCTGTGGGCAGCGCAGCACTGCGTTCCCCCCTGGCCTCACTGCTTAGCCTCATGGTCTCCCAAGGAGACTGCAGCCTTCTCATTTCCAATCCCCTTCAGTTCTGATGTGCAGACACTGCTGACCTCAGTGCTCCTGGCTGGTGACCCTTTGTGGCACCCCGTGCGTTGCTGGGCAGCAGGGCAGTTACCTGAACAGGACCTGTTCACTCTTCACTTCCCTCTCCCCTTCTTTTTCTTTTGTGAGGATGCAGCCACCAGTTTGCCTTGCTAGGTCACACAGGTTCTCTTTTCTGTTACAGCAGCTATGTCCTACGCTCAGCAGAAAGGGATGTTTTCCTCTGCTCGTGCTCAATGTCAGCCCTAAACCCCATTCTTGACCCAGCTGCATCCCCACAAGGAGGTGACGGCCGAGGGCTCTCAGTCTCCGTTCCCATTGGTGGAGCCGTGCCAGATCCCTCAGCTGCTTTTGATGACCTCACCCATTCTTGAATATTTTTTTTACGAATTGGGACCTGAGCCATGGAAACGTAAAAGTCTGAGTGCTGCAAACTCCTCCTAGACAACTTCACTATCAGTGTCACGTTTCTTTTAAATCCACCTGACATTTTTTTGCGTGTACAGCATTTTTGTCTTATAAACACATTTTTTAAAGTAAAACCATCGGGGGGACATTTTTATCTTACATTTGACATAGGGGGGGGGATTAACTTGGAAGGAAAGCGAGCCAACGAAAAATCGGCAGGAGAGGGTTTTAGTGCCTTCCTGTTTGGTTCATGCACAAGTCTGAGATTTTTCCAGTTTCCAACCTGTTGCCACCAGCCTTTCCTCCCTGCTGACCAGAGATCAAGGCGCTAAGGCCGTAAGCTCAGCCCGACCCGCTGCTCAGCAGCCAGTGCCCAGCTGTCCCAGGTGACCGCGGTGCTCCGACGGCTCCCAGCACGGCTGGACCTCGGGCGCCTCTGCCGGCTTGGAGCCCCGCGCCCCGACAACCCCTTACTGTACTTTATACTTGCCAGTATAACGAATCTAGTAACGCAAGCTACTGACCTTGATGGTGAGTGTGAGCAGTTATGTTTTGTTGTTTTCTCTCTTGCTTGGTTGGGGCTGCTGTGAGAGAGGGTGTCTCTGAGGCATACTTTCCGGCCTCTCTTACACTCGGACGTGCACACCTCCTCTCAAACACTCTTCTGAGCGCTCTCAGCGGGAAGGTTTGTCCACACCTATTAATCCTCTCTCAGTGTCCAGCTTCTTGTTAGTAGCAGCTGGTTGCATGTTTTTTGCTTGTTCAGACGAAACGGTTCAAGAAACGACTCATATCAACTCTTGAGAAATGTCTCTATTTTTTTGTACACTTTCTTTCTTTTGATGTTTTTATTAATTTCCCTTACTTAAAAAACAAAACACCTGTCGTCCCGTAAAACATTTCACATCTCCCCTTGCCTGTTCTTAGAGTGTATGTATCTGTGGGACTGAACTAAATGCATGCACTGTAGTAGTCGTACTGGTAGCAGTAGATGTAGTTGTAGAACATGCATTGTCGAGTTGATATTATAGGTGCCATCAATGTGAAATAGCGCGGCAGTTAAAAGCATAGCCTTGGTCTGACTGAGAGCGTAGGGCTATTAACAAAGCAGAGAGCTGCTAAAGGCTTGGATCCATAGTCCTGCATTTGTTAAATCCCATTATCTGGAAGTTTAAATTGAACGCAGCTGTAGGCTGTACAAGAACCCGCACATGCTGTTATGTTGATAGTAAATTTGCCGTATTTTTTCAAATTAAACCCCCTAGGAATTTAAATGCTAAGCATAACAATATTCTCTAATTTTTATTTTATATTAAAAAGATATTTTAAAAATCATTTTACAATCATGGTTTCTCCATCAGCCTGTTACTCGTCCATATTAGCCCATAGAATCATTTGTTAGCAGTTGTAGACCAGATGTGCCGAATGCAAATCACTCCATTTGGGTGTCTAAATAATACCATGTGTGCGAAGCAGCTTCCCGCAGACCGTCCCAAGACATAAAGCAATTGTTTTTAGGTCATAAACCTTAAATCTTGTTATGCAACAGAGACTCTGAGCTAGCGGTGGTTTGTATTCATTGCCATGTCACCGAGCTTAAGGGAGCATTTGTAAATGAAGATGTAATGTTTCATGAATATTGGCATCAGGAGCTTGAGACGAGTTCTGCATCTTTGCCGTCGAGCCAGTGAGCGGCGTTGCTTCCGGTGCCAAGGTGTGTGCACGAGGCTTTGGGAGCTCTTTCCCAAATGAAGTTTAGTCTGTGGGTTTAGCAGGCAGCAGGTGAGATCCCAATAGAGACTTTGTTCCTCTGTTTCGTTGGCTGGCTGTCAGAGAACGCCCTGCTGGGAGCAGCTGGGGTGTGCAAGGTGTGGGTGCTCCCTGCTTCCTCCTCCTCCTCCTGCGAAGGCACTGTGCTGAGCCCATGGTCCTGCTCTGCTGGGGGCTCTGCGTTCAGCTGCCAGAGGGAATAAGGTTTTCTGGGGGCTTTCGAAGTGTAGTTAAGAATTTGTATCTGCTCCTCACCTCTAACAGAGCATCAAGTAAATCAGCCAAACAACAGCTTGGATGGAGCTGACCCAGAGGCAGCCTGTGCGGAGCAATCGGAGCTGCCCGTATCGCTTCCCTGATTGCCGAGGAGCCGAGGTACTCGGGTATCAAGAGGGAGAATTATGTCCCCTTTTGATCTCGATCTGCCAAGGAGGCAGGGGACCCACAGTTTAATGTGCAAGGCGTGTGATGTAGTGAAGAGCGTATCTGAAAGTTAGCAGAGCGACAAATTGTGAGGGGCTTAGGAATCCTTGTCTTACACTTCAGGAAGGTGCTCTAAAAATGTAATATCGCCATTAGGCGCCCATAGTGTTGGCAAATTGCAGCCATAAAGAGCTGGACCACGGCTGGGCTGTGCGGGGGGAGTGACACCAGCACGGAGCTGAGCAGGGATGTGCGGAGGT